GGGGGGTGGGGGGCATATTATAACAGAACAAATGAAAATCATGAAATCATGATGTTCATATCAATACGTCCACTGCTAATTAATTGCATTAGCAGGGCTAGAAATATATTTTAGGGGGTAAAATGAAACACTAACTAATTAAAAAAATGTATAAAAGGTTATTATAAACATAATGTATTAGCTTTTAATAATAAATTAATAGTGATTGATGAAGTAATATAAATGTTGTCAATTGAAGGACAAAATAAACATATGTAGTGAATCAACAAACACCACTGAAAAATAACAAAGCTAATGTGAATTTATATTCTATGGCAAAACATCTTTATTTTCTACTCATATGCCATGGATAGTGTGAATCCATTTCTTCCATGCATTTAAAACGATGCAACCAAATTAGCGTTGATATTTTATTTAACTATATTACTTTCCATTTTTAAATGTATATTTTTTACAATTTAAATTATATTAAATTATAAAACACTAATTATAATGTCATAAAACAAATCTGTCTAATATAAAAAATATCATTTCATTCTTAATTTCATACCTAATATTTTATAATCCAGTTCACTAGGCTCCTAGAAAAAATATACTGTGTGCTCCGTAGTAAATAAAAGTTAGGCTGAAAATTTATTTGACACTGACACACATTTTGGACAGTGTGGTACACGCGCATAAGAAAAACCTGAGGCTACCTTAAGATAACATTTATTTCCCTCAAAAGAAAGTGAAAATGAGTAGTATAAATAGGTGGTTGAGGTGGGGCTCTCGACACTCTTGGCTTCTGCTTCTCTCTATTTCTTCACTACCAAATTAACGGTGGTGCCATGGGCAGACAACCCTGTTGTGACAAGCTGGGCGTCAAGAAGGGGCCGTGGACGGCGGAGGAGGACAGGAAACTTGTCAATTTTATCCTCACACATGGCCACTGTTGCTGGCGTGCCGTCCCTAAGCTTGCTGGCCTCCGCCGGTGTGGCAAGAGCTGCCGCCTTCGCTGGACTAACTACCTCCGCCCCGACTTGAAACGGGGCCTCCTCAACGAGGCTGAGGAGCAGCTTATTATCGAACTCCATGCGCGTCTTGGCAATAAGTATTCCCGCCTGTCCTTTTTTAATTTCTTTAAAATTATTTGTTGTTATATACTTTTAAATATTAAAATAAAAAATTATTTTGTAATTTAAATTATATGATTTATAAGACAGACCATTCATATTAAAAGTTAATTTTTTTTTTTTTCAAGTATCCATGCCTTTCAGGCCGATTTTCAGAATGGAGTGAAAACAATTTTCAAAAGAAAAAACAGATACAAATAAAATGTTTAATTTAACTTGTTCTTTGTATTAGGTGGTCGAAAATTGCGGCCAAATTACCCGGGAGAACAGATAATGAGATCAAGAATCACTGGAACACGCACATAAAGAAGAAGCTTACTAAGATGGGTATTGATCCGGTTACCCACCAGCCACTCCAGAAACCTCCAGTTGCGGCGGCCACTTCACAGGAGGAAGCGGCAGAACCTAGTTCTGACGCTCATGAAAATGATCATGGTCGTCAAAGATTTTATTCCGGCAGTGATCACCGGCAGCAAGATCCGCCACTAAAAGACCCTGCCCTGGTGGACAATTCTTCCATAGATATGGAAGTAAAGTCGTCAGTAAAAGATGATTTGGCAACGAATGTCTTTTGGGCAGAGGGTTTTGTCAACGAAAACTGGCCGCCTTGGGACTTTCTAGACGCTGTGGAAGGGTATGGTGAGTTTGGAGTGTCTTCAACATCATCGGAGAACTCTTCATGGTTGTTGGACTATCAGACTTTCAGTGAGGACATTGGTTTTGGCGACGGTTTCATGAATGAAGTTGACATGAATGTCAAGGACTAGGTATGGGTGGAAGGTGATAGACTAATGGCATATTGTAAAGATTTGTCACTACTTAGTCGTGTAAATGAACCAAGATGGAGAGCAAATTTTCCAGTTGACTTGTAAAAAG